TAATCCGATTTCACCCATTTTCATACTGTCAAAGAAGGTGCCAAAAAGATTTGTCTTGAGCAAGTTTGGTTGAAATACCTATCATAGTTTGTGAGATATGTACATTAAACCTATTAGGGATCGGAGTCATTCACCCTTTTTAAAAATGTTCAGCCCCCAAATAATCCATACTACTGCAAATCTTTGTATGGAATTAGACTTTTCTATCATGATTTGGAGCTTAGTTATAGGGTTGCATAGGTTTTCATTTAATGCCATCTTGTAGGCGTGGCAATAGTCCGATTACTGCCATCTGCAATACCAAGCTCACTTGGGTGCCAAAGAACATGTGTAGCAACGACAAATGGACAGGCAGTCACCCGGATCCTGATTATTTATATATATATCCATCTCGATTAGTTTTAGGTAATACAAACCACCGTTAGGTGAACAAAACTAATATACTATGTATACTTACATAGCAGATAGCAGTTGTATTCAGAAAGGAAGTCAATACAAGATTTGCTGTCTGACCTGACAATTGCGATGCTCTTTGCCTATAGTTTTAAAATTATGCATAACAGAAAGGACACTTGTAACTAACTTAATTTTACATTCTTTCTCTTAATTTAGATATAATTTGGTTAAACAATAATGTTTTTCAAATTGTGAAACTGATTGCTAACGCACAGTTACAATTTTAATATGCTATTATTCTATTGCAAATATTCATCAAAAGAGCGCAAATGCAATCGGGGAAAGAATTTCAAAATAAAAACGAATGCCGAATTGCGTAGTAGTAAACTATACGAACATAAAAGTACTTAGTTTTTCCTAGCCGCCCTCTCGCTTACAAACTACTAGTTTAAGTGACGAAAATCCTTTGTGTGTGAACGCAGTCTAACGGAACGATTAAATACTTGTTCTATTAAGCCTGCCATCTCGTCAGTTCTTATTGAGGCTATATCTCTGTTATACATATATACCCAGCAGTGAATCGACGTGTTTCAGGATAAACCAAAGGACTAAAAGTGCTATCACCATACAATGTATTTAGTTTTTTCACTCACAGCTTAGGAAATAGTGAGTATCATCGGACGAGTACAAATTATATTTCTACAGTCGAAAAACGAAATAACTATTTGGTGGAATTTATTTTGAGTGTTTATCTATACAATAATTAATGAAACGATTTACTGAAATGCTCAATTGCTTACTTTGTTTGCTGGTTAAATAGCGAGATTAAGTTGCAAATTAACTCACAATCGTCACTGCTGTCCGCATTTGCTCTTTTATTGTTTATTCAACTCGATCAATTCAGAAGTTTTGAAGTAATTCTTAATGTATTATTGACTGACCATGGCATCGTTTTCATTTTCATTAAAGATTTGAGTTTTTTCTATAATGCAACATCCTACGTGTTTTTCCAAGAATTCTTCAGTTAGAAAAATGTTTTGAGAAATACGTCCATAAAATATACAACCACCAAGCAACTTAGGATACATACTTAGTGTGCGCTTACACGAAGATCTTTGTTGCCAAACTTGTATTTTGTTGGCAAGAGGGCGACAAGGAAAGTCGAAGGGCTACGAAATGCTCGGGATCGGGTGGCACGCTGTGTGTTCTTGTTCGTAACAGTTCTCTGCTACGCAATTCGACAATCCTTTTCAATTTGAAATTCTTTCTATCCCTCGTTATGATCAACAAAAATTTTAGTGTGTAAACCCATATTTTCATGCATACCATATTTGTGTACATTTTTTTGGTCTGTTTGTGTAAAATTATCCTCAATGCCCTCAATTCATATCTTTATGTACATACATAGCTATATTGGTATGAAAATATGTATATAATCATATTTAGATATTCACTTGTGTGTGCAGTTTAGTCTAGAGACATGAATTTCAGGTAACTTTTGAAGTGTCGTCAAAAAAATGCAATTCATATTTTACTATCGATTTTTCTATAAAAAAAAGTTACAAATTTTTCTATAACAAGTAAGAAAGGGCTAAGTTCGGATGTAACCGAACATTTTATACTCTCGCAAAGTCAAATGGTATACTCGTTTGAGATTTCTTTGTGGATTAGGCACTGGGGTCCACATATTTAGTACTTAGGGGCTTGAACAGTTTTGGTTCGATTTAGAAAATTTTTGGTCACAAGGTGGCATACTTTAAACGTATTATTCACGCAAAGTTTTATCCCGATATAATCATTGTTGCTTGATATGCATAGTGAAAAGTGGAAGAATTAGATGGAATTGAAAATGGAGTTATATGGGAAATAGGCGTGGTTGTAGTCCGATTTCGCCCATTATAACATAGAAATATGAAAAGAACGTTACGTTACGTTACGTTAAATTTGGTTGAAATCGGTTAAGCAGAACTCAAGATATGGGTTTTCACCTAAAAGTGGGCTGTGCCACGCCCACTGTCTAATTTTGAACGCGGTTCCTATAAAGTCATCTCATACCATCCCAGAGATAAAATTTAATGTCTCTGGCGTGTTTAGTGCTTGATTTATCGCGCTTTTAGTAGTTTTAACAGTACCGTTATATGGGGAGTGCGCGGCGTTGCCACCCGATTTCAACTATTTTCACACTGTAGGTAGAGGGTCTAAAACCATTTGCTTATAGTGAATTTTGTTATTATAGCATTAGCGGTTTAGGAGATATGCACATTAAACCTATTAGAGGCGGGACCACGCCCACTTAAAAAAAAAATTAACTGCAGATGCCCCTCCATAATGTGATCCTGTGTACCAAATAACAGTCTTGTATCTTATTGCGGAGCTTAGTTATGGCAATTTATTTGTTTTTGATTAATGGCGTTTTGTGGGCGTGGCAGTGGTCCGATTACGCCCATCTACAATACCAACCGTCTCACGGTACCAAGAAACATGTCTACCAAGTTTCATAAAGATATCTCAATTTTTACTCAAGTTAGAGCTTGCACGGACGGACAGACGGACGGACGGACAGACAGTCACCAGGATTTCAACTCGTCTCTTCATTCTGATCATTTATATATATATAACCCTATATCTAACTCGATTAGTTTTAGGTGATAAAAACAACCGTTAGGTGAAAAAAAATATTATACTCTGTAGCAACAGGTTGCGAGAGTATAAAAAAAATGTTACAAATTAGCAGCTGATAAAGTAGAGGGTCTAAAAAAATTGGCACGTGACCACACCCACGATTTGAACCCTCCTAGCGATCTGAATCTAAAAAAAAAATTATTAATGTAGAATAATGTCGCAATGATCGGAACTGCGGAAAAGTTTGAATGTTTTTTTTTCACGAAATAGCGACTGCCTAAAAAAAAAACGATTTTTGTACCACTTTTTTAACTATATCGAATTTTAAAAAGTAAAAAGTTTAAATTTATTAGTGCAGACATAGACTAGTCTATGAAGAAGACAGAAGCAGAACCCAATAAATCGTGGGTATCGTTTTGAAAAAGACAGTTTCTACAAAAACGCTTTTAAAGTTTCATTCCCGGCTGAACCAGTTTTGATGCCGGGTCAGCAAAATACCAATATCTCCGAAAATAATTTGAATATTGGAAAATCGTCTTATATCCATATTCTTGAATAGTGACTTTGGAAATATAAACAAAAATCGATTTTTTTTATTTCTAGACTAGAATAGTAAGCTAAGTGCATACAGGATATAATTACATATACAATTAAATGTAAATACATCCACATACACATATTAAAACAATACTAATCGACAAATGGGGTAGTAAGAGAAAACAAAATCCAAATTAAATATAGGTATATGTAAATATGAGAAGTACTACTGATATGAACATTACCTAAAGTTTGATTCCAATTTAGGCCTTTAGACCGAAAAAACAAATAAATTAACAGATTTATTTATGCTTTAAAACTAATATGTGATTGTATTTAATTTATCTAATTCTTAGTTTCGCAGATTATTCCATTTTATTTGTGCAAAATATATTTTTTAGTGCAACTTAATAAGAGTTTTGTATGAAAATAGTTAATATAAAACTTACGGGCCACAACCTTCCGGCTCCTTTAGAAGTTACTGTCAATTGTCATTCAAAAGCCATGAATCAAACATGATCATCTCGTGCACTTCATTTTCTTTATTAATTATTCCAACATAATTTGCGGATTGGCTAAGTTGGAATTCATCAGCTGTCGGAATTAACTGCCTTCATCAACATACATATGCCTTACAGGTGCACGTTACAGCCATGTTCATCTCATCCTACGAATTTGAATTGATTAAAAAGTTAAGGCTTTCATCAATAAAAATATTATCCTTTTGTAACTGTTATTTGCTATGTACATACTTGTACATACATATGCTTGTACTATATGCATAGTAGACACAATGGTATATAAATTAATATAATTTAATAATAATTTTTAAAGGATCAACATGGGTCCTATCATCAATATATTTTTTAAATAGGAATAATTGCGAAAGATAACGTGACATATGGCTACAAAATTTAATGACATTCTGTCTATCGCAATTCAGCAGTCACATAATCAGTATTAACTTGTATTTTGTAGGTGCATGTATGTAGCAATTTAACTATTAAAAGTCATGCAGGCACTGTTTTTGACACCTTCCACTTTTTGAAGTTCTGTGTGTTGGAATTTTACCATAGTTGAATGTCCGTTATTATAAAACGTACATATCCATG